GGCTGCAGCCGTGCCACCGCCGCCGCCATCCCACGGCTCTGCGTCACGCCACCCCCCGGCTCCCCATCGACGCCGGGTGGCTCCGGCACCACCGCGGTGGCACCTCCGGTGACATCGGCTGACGTCCCCTCCGCCCCGTAGGCCACCTGTTGGTCAAGGTGTTGCGGTGGGAGCTTGTCCCGCTGTCCCCAACCCACCCCGGCGTGACGGTGACTTACCGGCACCTGCAAGGCGACGCCGTGGCCGCAAGTGGGGGACGCCCCATCTTGCAGGGGGCCCGGTGACCCTCGGTAGCACCCAAGGAGCTGCGGCGCGGGCTCGGGCGCCCCGGTGAGACCACGGGCGCCGGCGACGTCCGAGCTGGGACCGCCCTCCCCGAGCCCATCGGCTACCAAGGAGCAACCACGGGTGAGTGATTTTGGGGGGCCACCAGCCGCGGGGGGTGGAAGTCGGGGGTCTCACCAGCGGCGGGGGGTTGTTGCCGGAGCAGCTGTTGCCGGACGTGTTGGTCCACCTCGGTGTCCTCGTTTTCGGGGAGCGCCCGACCTTCCGCTTGCTTCTTCTCCCTCGTCTTCCTCACCAACGTCAACCGATCCCGGATGGATTTGGCGACGGCTTTGGAGTCGCTTTCGTGGAAGAAACCGGATTTCACCTGCGGCGGGGGGAGGGGGAAACGGGGAGCGGTGAACGTGGAGAACCGTTGGCGCCGGAGGGGGGCGAGAGGGATTGGAGGGGCCAACCGCGGGGTTTCGTGGGGAATTTGGGGGTTTCGTGGGGAATTTGGGGGTTTCTTGGCTTTGGAAGGGGTTCACGGTGAAGTTGAGGGGCCAACCGCGGGGTTCACGGTGACTTTGGAGGTTCATGGACTCTATGGAAGGGTCAAGCCACGTTGGAGGGGCCAGCTCCAGGGGGAGTTTGGAGTCCACCTGAGGGGCTTTGGGGTCCCATGAGGGATTTTTGCGTCCACATGAGGGATTTTGGTGTCCACCTGAGGGAGTTTGGAGTCCCCCGAGGGGTTTTGGTGTCCACGAGGGATTTTTGGGTCCCATGAGGGATTTTGGGGTCCACCTGAGGGATTTTGAGGTCCACATGAGGGATTTTGGGGTCCCCTGAGGGGTTTTGGTGTCCACATGAGGACTCCTGGTGTCCCCCAAGAGGTTTTGGTGTCCCCTGAGGGAGTTTGGTGTCCCCCGAGGGAGTTTGGGGTCCCCTGAGGGACTTTTGGGGTCCACCTGAGGAGTTTTGGGGTTCCCAGGGATTTTGGGGTCCCCCCGAGGGCCCCCCCCGGCGCCTCTCACCATCTCGTAGGCCACCTCCTCGGGGACGTCGGCCTCCAGGTCGAAGCTGAACTCGATGGCTTCGTTGTCCTTGTGCTTCCCCTTCAGCTTCTTGGGATCCTCCACCCAAAGGCGCAGCGCCAAGGAGGACTCCAGGCCCTCGTCTTCCTCCGCCAACTCCACCCGTAAACCCGTGTCCTCGGCGAAGAAGACGTGGTCGAGCAGATCCCGGATGGAAAGCCTACGGGCGAAGGGGCGTGGTCAGCGGCGGAGGGCGGCGCCGGCCCCGCCCGCGGCACCCGGCGTCTCCCACCTCTCCGCCTTGTTTTGCCGGATACAACCCTCGATGATCTCCTTCACCTCCGGATCCGTCACCTTATCCAAACTCGCCGGTTTGATGCCCTACAAGAAGCGGAACGGCGGTGACGTCACCGCCGGCGCGACGACGGGACGCGACGGGAAAGCCGGAAACCCACGCTGGTGACTTTGCGGTAAATCTGGGCGGCGTTTTGGCACTCGGAGTAGGGATACTCGGAGGTGCCCATCTCCAACATGCACATCCCGAAGGCGTAGACGTCCACCGACTCGTCGTACCGCTCCTCGTACATCTCCGGCGCCATAAATTCCGGTGTACCTGCGGCGACGACGGATGAGAACCGGTCGCCGGCCGCCGGCGCGCGCCGAGGCTCCCTGGCTCTCACCGATGACGCTTTTGGCGAAGGAAGTCCTCATGAGGGTGGCCAAACCCAAATCGCCGATTTTCACCGAACCGGTGGGGCCGGTGATGAAGATGTTGTCGCACTTGAGGTCCCGGTGGATGATGGGCGGCGTCCGGGTGTGGAGAAAGTGAAGCCCCTTCAAGATTTGCCGACACCAACTCCGTAACACCTTGGGTTTCATCACCTTGAACCTCTTGAGATACCTACAAGATGGCCCCCGCCGTCATCCCCCCGCGCCCCGGCCGCGCCCGCGCGCCCGCCACCGCCGCCGCTCACGTTTTGAGGGTGCCGGAGGTCATCAGTTCGGTGACGAGGACGATGCACTTCTTGCCCTTGACCGTGGATTCCCAAGAATCATAGAAGCGAACGATGTTGGGGTGTTGCAACCCCTTCAGCATCTCCGCTTCCTCCTTGAACCGTTGTTGTTCCGCCTTGGTCAACTTCCGGTCCTGGGAGAACCCACCCCAAGTTCAAGGTTAACCGCTATTGGTTGCCTTCGCCAGCGGCAAAACCCCGGTGAAGGCAATGGTGAAGGCAATGCTCTTCCAATGACGTTGGGAGAGGATCAACGTGAACTTGAGAGGTCGGCCGTCAGGTCCGTGGTGAGTTTTGGGGCGCCATTGACGTTGGAAGAGGATCACCATGAACTTGAGGCGCCAACCATGAGGTTCACGGTGAATTTTGGGGTGTCAATGACTTTGGAAGAGCTTCAACGTGAACTTGAGAGGCCAACCGTCAGGTCCGTGGTGATTTTTGGGGCGCTCTTGACTTTGAGACAAGCTCAGGATGAACTTGAGGCGCCGACCATCAGGTCCATGATGAATTTTGGGGCGCCGTTGACATTGGAAGAGGATCACCGTGAACTTGAGGCGCCGACCATCAGGTCCGTGGTGATTTTCGGGGCGCCGTTGGCGTTGGGGCAGCCCCCAGCTGACCTCAAGGCCC